GAGTCTCAAAAGCATTATGCTATATGAAAGAAGCCAGGCACAAAGGCCACCTGTTGTATGATTTCATTTACATGAAATTCCAGAAAAGACAAACTGGAGTGAAAGAAAGCATTTCAGTGGAGAGGTGGGAGGGAACTGACTACAAAGAGGCACGAGAGAGCTTTTTGAGTGATGGAACTGTTCCGTGTGTTGACCATGGTGGTAGATCCATAGGTGTAGACATTTGTCAAAATTCATCAAATTGTGCATTTAAAATGGTGAATTTTATTTTATGTAAATAAAATAAAGCTGATTGAAAAGGTAAATAGGAATTAGTAGCCTTGTCAATTGATTCTAGCTCCTTTAACTTTTCTGAGGCCCAGGACCCAGGGACTAATTTGTGTTGATTAGAATAACTCATCAGCAAAGGATGCTATTTAAAAGATTTCCTTGGTATCTCGTGTTGACACTGAATAGAAATTATTTCTCCTTTGAAGTCCTACTGGGAAGACCCATACTTAGAAAGTTGTTAAGGTTTCCATCATTTAAAGTATTCCTAAAAGTCACGCTCAAAAGATGGTGCTATTGAACTTTTTGTTTTGATTTCATGAGATTCTTCAGCCTTTCTTGAAAAGGAACATAAAAATGGTAGTTTTCATTTATTAAGCAATAACTCCAGGCCAGACATTCTACTTAATGCTTCACTTACATTATTTCATTTAATCTGCAGACCAATTCTGCAAATGAGATACTACTGTCTAGTTTACAGAGAAGATAGCTGAAGCTTGGAGAGATTAGACAACTTTTTCAAGTGATCATACTTGAATTTGGGATGATTGAATGCCCAAACCATTCACCTACTCTCTTGTACAGCCTCACCTACTCTAAATGTCTCCTGCAAAATCTGGTTCAGGCTCTAAAATAGATTATCCCCAAGTTCCTGGCTTACAGTCCACCTTCCATCCACAGCCATACATGCTTGCTCTGCATTTCTACCAGGGTCTCTCAAGTCCAGTCTCCTTTAAGTCTCTATAAATTAAATAAGTCAAACCATACATCTGCCCACTGAAAGCCCTCTGCCACCGTGAGCAATCACTGCCTAAGGAAGGAGTTGCTTCCAAAATGAGGAATTGTCTTTCCTGGTTTCCAGAACCATAGATTGGAGAGAGGAGAGCCTGGGAGAGGTCAGGGATTGGCAGTGGTTTGTGGCCAGAGAATTTCCCCAGTGGAAATTCTGAGCAGTCACGGGGCCAGTTGTTTTGTAGCACAGGTGCTTGGTGATGATGCAGTGGAAAAGTGCAGGTGGGAGGGGTAGGGACCAGTATGACTTTGACCACCAAACACACCTGGAGGTGCTGTTCAGCCACAAACCTTGCATGTGGCCAGAACTGGTGGGAATACTGGTGAGTGCATCTCTGCAGACATCTGGCACCTTAACTCTGAAATATAATCAAAAGAATTCTGAGTTTGATTCTCTGAGTATAAAACTTTTCAGATTGCTGTTAATCTGCTGTAAGTTAAGAGAAGTGATGCTGAGATGCTGCAAATGGAGTCCTTGGTATGTCCCAGTCCCCATTACTCCCTCCAAGTCACATGACAAGTGCATTATGAACCCAGACTCAGAGCCCAGCTCCCAGAAGGGAAAATTCTTAACAAAGCAGCAAGCAGTGAGATTTAATCCATACTAATGAGCAAATGCTTAGAAAAAACTCCAACTTTCATGAGAAGTGAAAATGAGGCAGTTTTCACCTCCAAGGGGGGTCCTGAGTAGAGAGCCAGAATGGCAACATGGGCTGTGTGAGGTTTGCAAAATGAGAACTGGGCCAGACAACACGTCCCTCCTTACTTGAATAGACTGAATCCCAGGAGGCCCTTCTTCTCCAAAAGCATTGCCATCTTAGGGGGTAGATCAGGCCAGCGTTGGCCCGTAACAGATCACAACCAGGTAGGGTCAGCTGATGCAGGAAGCTTTGAATAGTCATTTTATACCAGAAGTTCCAACAACAGCTTTGATGCCAGTGCCTGATAATTACTGACTTTACATGATTATTTTCCGTTTGAGAAACTTTTCTGAGTTTTAATGAGGCTTGATGGAAGCTAAAGGACACAGTTATCATGCAGACTCCACTTTTTCCAAAATGAAAAGACTTATTTTTTTTCCCTTTTTAAGAAACTCAAATAATAGATAGTCAAGTTCCCCAAAACCCAATAGAAAAAATAAACGCACAGTAAGAAAATAACGGTTTGGTGAGTATATCCTCCCAGTCTTTTAATACATATGCAAACCTACATTTTATTTTCCTTCTTTTTACTTTTTAAAATTTGTTACAGTTGACATTCAATATTATTTTATATTAGTTTCAGGTGTACAGCATAGTGGTTAGACATGTATACAATTTATGCAGTGATCCCCCCAATTAGTCTAGTACCCACCTGGCACTATACATAGTTGTTACAACATTATTGACTATATTCCCTATGCTATACTTTATATCCCTGTGACTATTTTGTAACTACCAATTCATACTTATTAATCCCTTCACCTTTTTAGCTCAGCTCCCCAAACTCCCTCCCCTCTGACAACCATTAGTTTGTTCTGTGTATCTATGAGTCTGTTTCTATTTTGTTTTTATTTTCTTCTTTAGATTCTAGTGAGATCATATGGTATTAGTCTTTCTCAGTCTGACTTATTTCACTTAGCATAATATCCTCTAGGCCTATCCATGTTTTCTCAGATGATAAGATTTCATTCTTTTGTATGGCTGAGTAATACTCCATTGTATATACAGAGGGTGCCCAAAAAATGTATACACATTTTAAGAAAGGGAAAAAACTGTGTTAAAATTGTAGTACTAGAGGACATACAAATGGCCAATAGACATATGAAAAAATGCTCAACATCACTAATCATCAGGGAAATGCAAATAAAAACCACAATGAGATACCGCCTCACAACTTTTAGAATGGCTATTATCAAGACAAATAACATTGGGCTGTCAGAAAAGTCATGACGTATTTTTTCTATGTTTTTCATTGCAAAAATGCATCATGACTTTTCTGACAACCCAATACCAAGTGTTGGAGAGGCTGTGGAGAAAAAGGAACCCTATACATTGTTGGTGGGAATGCAGATTGGTGCAGCCACTATGGAAGGCAGTGTGGAGAGTCCCCAAAAAATTAAGAATAGAATTACCATATGACCCAACCCTCTTTTGGGTATCTACCCCAAAAATCTGAAAACACTTATCTGTAAAGATATATGTGCTCCGATGTTCATTGCAGCTTTATTTACAATGGCCAAGACATGGAAACAACCAAAGTATCCTTCAATAGATGATTGGATAAAGATGTTGTGGTATATATACACAATGGAATACTACTCTGCCATTAGAAAAAATGAAATAGTGCCATTTGCGACCATATGGATGGATCTTGAGATTATAATGCTAAGTGAAATAAGTCAGACAGAAAAAGTGGAGAACCATATGATTTCACTGATATGTGGGATGTAAAACTGAAAGCAACAAAAGAACAAAGAAAAGCAAATGAAGAAACAAAATTCATAGACACAGACAATAGTTTAGTGGTGACCAGAGGGTAAGTGGTAGATGAGTGTAAAGGGGATCAAACATATGGTGGTGGAAAGAGAACTGACTCTTGGTGGTGAACACACAAGTGATCTATAGATGATGTATTACAGAATTGTACACCTGAAACCTATGTAACTTTGTTAACAATTGTCACCCTAAGAAACTTTAATTTTAAAAAAATTGTAATACTCAATATGTACCAATAACAAAAGATGAATACAAGTCACATGTATACATTTTTTGGTACCCCAATATTGCTTCTGTTCAAATTGAAATAAATACCTCATTTTTATGGCTGTGCATTAGGTCCTACAACACTGGCCCATTGCTGTTGGATGAGAACTATGGCCACTAAAACGTTGCAGATATTTCAGACTTTGTCCCATATGACTGCATTTGTCTGGCTTTGATGAAAGTAGGGAGAAGTTGGGATATTAGAGATAAAGTATATCAACTCTTAGAGAAAGTTCTTGAGTTTAAAAAATTAATTTTATTAAATACGTATTTTGATCTGGGCACTTTATCTGCACTCATACATACATTGTCTAAATGTGAAACTTAGCACCAAAGCCATTCTTCAGATACATGCAGAGCCAGCTTCACGGGCTTGTGACCTGTGCAGCGACCCATTCTCAGAAGGGGCCTTGTGCTTGGTTTAATGTTCTTCTGTTTAATGTTCTTCATCTTGATTTCTTAATTATTTTTGAAGGATAGGCCTGGCATTTTCATTTTGCACTGTGTTCTGAAAATTATGTAGCCAGTTCTAGATACACATAAAAGCTTTTCTTTTTTTTTCTTTTTTTTTTTAGCTGAGCCATCCTGCTACCTGTTGGCAGCTCAGCGGCTGCTCAGCTTGGGCTGGACTCGAACCACTGTTGATCAGAGCTCAAACTCTTGAGTGAGCTCTTAACCAACTGAGCCACTCGGCAGGCCCCATAAAAGCTTTTCTGACCTGAGTCATCTGACTTGTGATCTCTGTTTTCATGTGGCATTGAAAATAGAGTTATGGGTAGTTTCCCAACATTTCCTCTCAATAGCAAGATGACCCTAGTTCTAGAACATTTTCTAAGACATAAATGTTGTGGATCATGTGATTCACTGGGAACAATGAAGGAAGTAAACACACAAAGTTGATTTTTATTTATCTGCAAGTGTATAGAGTTAAAATTATACCTTCATTGGAATATAGAAGAATCATTCCCAATGTGATATATATCTGTGTATATACATACATACATATGTGTGTGTGTGTATACAGAGGATGCCAAAAGAATGTATACACATTTTAAGAAAGGAAAACTGTATTAAAGTTGTAATACTCAATATATACTGATAACAAAAGATGAATACAAGTCACATTTGACTTCTACAATTACAAGAGGTGCTCAAAGTGGTTACCATCAGCATAATTTTAATAGAATTTTTTTCCTTTCTTAAAATGAGTATACATATTTTTGGTACCCTCTGTATATGTATATCAGCATAATGAAAGAACCTGTTCATCTGAAGAGTAAATTTGTATGCACATGCGCCAATAAGCTAAATATACATACATTCCTCTGTAATTCTTCTATCATGAAGATGATTATTTCAGCAATTCAAACAAAAAGTAAAATTTGTTCAAGGTCTGAGCTTGGCGGTTCTTTATAAAAATAATGAAAGCACCCTCTTCTGAATTGAAAAGCATCATTCTTCCTGTTCTTCTTTAAAAAAAATGGTAGAAAACAGTTGGTCTAAAAATACCATAAAATGTCTATTCTCCATTATCACAGAGGAATAAACATTTCATTACAGGGCATGGTCCTCTGTACAGGGGGACAGAATATGATTTTAAAAGACAAGTTTTCAAGGAAGAGGAGCTCTTTCTGGATAGCGTATGAGCCACGGGGAAGGCTCAGTGGGCAAGGAAACAGTGCTGCCTCCACCTTCTTAGGCCAGGCAGGGTTTCTGAACTTTGTATGCTAGACTCACCCAGGGTACTTCGAAAAACACCGATGTCTGGGCCTAATCCTAAACTCATTCATTTATACCCTGAGATTGGTGCTCAGGCAGGGTGTTCTTAAGTATCCCTGGTGATTGTTATTTGCAGCGAGGGTTAAGAACCACTGGACTTTTGCACACAAAAAGAAAGGTTTGGGCTACACCAAAGTCAGACAGGTATCTATTTGGAAAATGTTAAATTTAATCTACATTTATATCTGATATACTTAAATATATACATCATTAACAGATAATCCTATGTAAAGTATTAAGTGTAGGTAATTTTAAAACATTTTATAAATAATTTAATGGTATTTCTCTAAGGTTAAACAACATTTCCAATAAATAGCAAAATATTTAAGTGATGAAAATAACTTTTAAAGAAGACATTTCAATAATTTTAAGAAATCTGAAGAACATGTCAAAGTTTGAAAGTTCTTTAAACTGATAGGTGAGTAGGCAAGTAGTGTTCTTTCTAACTTGGATACTTTTTTAGATATCTAATATCATTTTCCATTAGAAGCTAAAGAAAAAGCTGCTCAAACCACAATTAAAAATGAACACATTTGGATGAACACATATGGATTAACACTAATCCGTAATTTGTAGACTGTCTCCTTTAAAAATATACTTTAAAAAACAAACAAACAAAAACTCCTCCAAGCATCTTTACAAATAAGTGCCTAAAATTCTAGTAACACTAGAGTAGAAATTCTTTTTCAACTAATTTTTCAATCTAGGATAAAGAGGTTCTTGAAGATTTCACAATTCTGGGTAAAGAGCTGTGGGAGGGAAGCAGGGAGAAAGAGAGGGAGGGAGGAAAATATAAAACCCCCCAAAAATGAGTGCCTTTAGTTACTTCCTATCAATATTTCCATGCTGGAGAAGGCTGTAATAGGAGCTGTACTTGATTGTAGTTGATAATTCACTCTGTGGACAGAGTGGAGATAAATGGTCTCATCTCTATTTTTCCTATTCGTAACCTTGGAGCCAGACCAGCAGAGAAGGGCCAGGGCACAAAGGTGCAGATTTTCCATTTTGCATTTGTGCATCTCAAGTGCACACTGTAAAAGAACCTAATTGCAAAAGACACTGAAAAGATGAACTTGCTTTCCGTGCTTTTAGCACATCACTAACATCAGCAGACACTGAGGGGATGTCTGGAATAGCGCTGAAGGCATGAGACAAGGGTTACAATGATTACATCTTTTTCTGTAAAGAGCTTGAAGAATACAAGGATAACCACAATTGAGAGTAAACCCAGATGAAAATAGATGTCACCAATTATTCTAGAGAATTTCCAGAAGCATTCAATAATGAGATAGTCAAAACATCAGGCACAAGGAGGACGTGATTAGTCTGTTTAAACTTAGAACTCCAAAATCACTGAGATAAATGAGAAAAACAAACAAACCAGCAAACAGCCTAGAACTAAACATTAGTTAAACAATCAGATATGCCAATATTTTTTTTCCAGTGAAGAGTTCAGCAGGAAAAGAGCTATATTTGTGAAGTGCCAGCTTTCATAATGCCCTGTTACATTTTAAATCCATGGCTGATGATTGACATGCTCATTTAAAGCTCTGGAACATTAACTTGTTGGAACATTAACTAGCCCAAAATATTAGGCTGAATGTTTCTCTCCTTGTTTGATGCCAAGAACAAGATGTAGGAACCAGTTAAACTGCACAGTCCATCCTTTGTCTCTGCAAACTTCAATCTGATCAAGAAAATACTTTTTAGCATCCTCCTCATTTTTCCCCACTGTTAGGGCATCCCGAATATATTCAATATCTTCTTTGCTTGTTAGCTGTGGCATTCCTGTCATCAGCATCATGGAGAACAGAATGATCAGTAGGTTTGTGTGATGACGAAGGGCTAGATAAGCCTTAGCGCAGACGTCCTGGAAAGAAGAAAAGGCTGTTATTGTTGTTATGGTAACTAAGTAGGGTGAAGACCACCGGGCTGTATTGGAATTTACATGGCATTACTCTGCTTGTGAGAAGAAACCATCACAAATGCGGTAGGTCCCCTGCCTCAAATGAAAAGCTTGATGAGAACAGAAACCGTTTTTGTAATCTCTTAAACACTTCAGTGTAGTTGGCATATATCCAGGGTGTGCTCAAGGAAAACTAATTGATACAGTTAAGGTTCTTACTCTACCTTTTTACTTCAATTCTTTCCTAGGAAATTGAGGGTGGAAATTTCTGTTGTCTCTGAAGAGGAATGAGTCAGTTTTTGAACACCATACTGGAATCAATAAACTTTATGTAAGCATAAATAATCTCTGCCAAGAGCTAATGGAATCCAAAGAAATGATGGAAACATGGTGTTTGAGATTTTGTGTTCATCTTTATTTTAAAATTTGCCCTATTCTAAGAAAACAGGTGAATTAGCTTTTCATTGTCTGCCTCTCAAAATTGTTGCATGAACTTTAGAATTTTAATATAAATTCTGAATACTGAGTAAGGGGATGGCCTTTAAAAAAATGCTATAGCTGGTACCTCCTCCGAAAGCCTTGGAGCGGATGATACAGGTGAGTTAAATCCACTTATTAGGCAACAGCCATGCTTATAACAATTAAGTTCTTCCAAAGCATAAACAAAGATGCAAGATTCCCAATTTCATAACATGAGAATAAGTCAACATTAATATCATAACTTGGCAAAGACAGCATGTTAAAGAAAACTGAAGGTAATAATTACAAATATAAATATTTCAAATAAAGTGTTGAGTAAAATGTTAAAACAATAACACACCATAGCTAAATAAGATTTATTCCAAAGTTGCAAAAGTAGTTCATCACAAATTACTGTACTAAAATCACTTGATTTTTATAAAACTAATATGCAACTTAATATGTAACCAAAATGTAATGAGTGAAAAATTATCAGCAATTACCACTCACAGTCATTCTGAATAATGAGTACAGGAAAAAGAAATAAAGACATCAGATCAGAAAAGTGAAGGTAAGATTGTTAATATTTACAAATAATTATCTTCTTGAAACACCAAAGGGGAAAAAACTAAATACTATTGTAACTAGTTCTTTTAAACAAGATTTTTATAGAATTAATAAGTAGGATGCTATAAATGGGAACCACCAGTTAGAAAGTATAATGAAAAGACAGATGTACGAATAATGGTAACAAAAACACCATAATTCCTGGGATAAACACATACACAAAACATGAAGAATCCATATTTTAAAGCTAAAAATTTACTATGGCACATAAAAGAAAATTTGAACATGTGGAGCCAATAGCATGTTCCTCAGTGATGATTGCTTATTATAAAGATGGAGTTTCTTCTCAGATTAATCTATAAATATAATGAACTTGCAATAAACGTTCCTATTGAATATTTAAACTCAGATATGGTTTGATTTCATCTGGAATAATTAGGGCCTGAGAGAAAATTTTGAAAAGGCATAGTAATGAAAAGTACTGCTTGCCATACTAGATATTAAAACATATTATAAAATCGTAATATTATAAACTGTGTAGAACAGTACGTATTCTTTTCCAAAAAAGATAAGAAATTTTGTGGAACAGAATGGAAAGTTCAGAGATTTAGCTAAGTACATATTAAATATAAGATATAATAAAGGTGACTTCTCAAGTTAGTGGGGAAAAGATCTATTATTTGATGAATGGGGCTGGTACAATTGGGCTCATCATTTAGGGGAAAAATAAAGTTTATCCCATGTAATATACCAGAATAAATTCCAGAAGAATTAAAGATTTAAATGTAAAAAGAGAAAATATTTAAATAATCATGAAGTGGGAAAGGACTTTATGAAGATAACTTCCAAAGTGGAATCCACAAGGAAAAGATGGAGAGATTATGGAAAGCTTAAATTTTTGAGAGAAAAAAAAAGGCTTACATTATTTAAAAGAGGCAAATGACAACAGAAACCTATTTGCAATATGACAGATCACTTCTTCATCCCAACCCCCCCCCATAGCTCTCACAAATCAATAAGAAAGAGAAAAACAGTTGGCTAGAAATATAGGCTAAGGATATAAATGAGAATTCATATGATAAGACATAAAAACAGATAAACATATGAAAAAATATACAATCTCATTAGTAACCAAATAAATATAACTTAAAATGAGGTGAAAACATTCACCAACCCAACTGGAAAGTGTTTTTAAAAGTTTGTTTTAAGAATAATGCCCAGTGTTCACCTTTCCTAGGCTGATGGTAGATAGGAATAGGTATAATTTTACTAGCAAATAATTTGATAACATGCATCTAAAGCTTTAAAATACTTATGTTATATGACTTAATTGTGATGGTGGCTACATGATTGATGCATTTGTCAAAATTCAAAGACCTGTATATCTTAAAAGGCCCAATTCTGCTCTATGTGAATTATGCCTCAATAAACTTGACTTTAAAAATGTCTATATCCTTTTGCCCAGAAATTTTCATGCTAGGAAATTTACCTTTTAAAAGAATTGGGTAATTTTGAGTGATTTATCTACAAGAGTGTTAATTAGAACACTGTTTAAAATTGTGGAAACTTGAAAGCAAACCAAAATATCCTACAAGGGATTGATAAAAAGCGTTTATGAAAATACCTAAAATTGCATGCTCTATAACTACTAGAATGATACTGTAAAAAAATATTTAGTAAACATGTAAAAGTATTTGAGTTAAAGAGCAGGTATGAAACAACATGTAGCATAATCCCATTTTGGTAATTAAACTTAAAATATTTAGATAGAAAAAGGAATAGAAATTTATAGGCCAAAATGTTAATAGTGATTTTTCTTTTTGCTTTTAGATTATCTTTTCGGTGTCATTTGCATGTGACAGGGTAATTGCAGTGATGATGGGGGTCATGCCTGTGTCATTCTGTATGTCAAGACTAGACTGTGTACATGTCACCTTGTCTAAGGACAAAGACCCATGAGTATACTGGCATTTTTAAAGGGAGACAATGTATATAAAATGCCTGGCACGTGCAAGGGTTCAATAAACAGTCCTCCCCCTTCCCAACTGGAAATCAGCTCCGTGGGAGGCTACCTGGGAGACTCCACAACCTGAAAGACTGAGCTGTGCCTGCCACAGCCCAGGTGCCACTTGTCCCCTGGAAGTGGCCTCAGTGCACTAGTGCTCTTGCATTTTTAATGGTTCCACTTATGTCCAGAAATAATTTTCTTTTGCTCATTTGCAGAACCCACTGAGGTCTCTCTCATTCCTTGCTAATTGCACAGGCTAAGGGCAGACTTCACCCCAGGCAACAGTCTCATTAATTTGCCTACTCGCACAATTGTCACAAAGGCTTAGGTGAGGATGCCTTCTGATTTTGAATTAGATTACATTCTGATTTTTCATTATTTTCGATTCTTTCTGAACACTGGGGGCTCCAGGCAACACCCCATTATCTGAACCCACTGTGTGGTCAAACCCTTTAATAGATAATTTTTGAGGAGGAAAACTAACCTGGGGCCACATTATTACGACATCCATCAGTAGATGCTCAGTGTTTGTTAAGTGACAACACAGTGACTTACCAATTGCTGTAGCCCAAAGAGATGTTAAAGAAAAGGAATTGTCCTGTTTCTCTGGAAGGCCATCTCACCTATATAACGAATTTCTGCTGGCTCGAATTTACTTGGTTCTGATTTTCACACACAAGGGTCACTTCTATGAAAAAGACATTTCATCTCCAAATATAACTGCATGCCGCATACCTGTCAGATGCAATGTCTAAATTCTGACTGGCCATGCACACTTAGAGACTTGGTGCAGATTTAATTGTCTTTGGCTAAAAGGTAGTAATGGAAAAGAAAAGCACAGATCCACGCCTCACTGCCTGGATTCAAAGCTTGGTTTTATTACTGAAAAGCTTTTTGTCATCTGAGAAGTTACCTAACCTCTCTGGACCTCAGTTTCCTCATCTGTAGAATAAGAATAATAACAATATCCATTTCATATGGTTGTGGTGAGATTTAAGTGCTATGTAAATATTTGTCTATTATTAATAATAATTTGAGAAGTTGCATTTCTCAATGCTGAGGTCGCCTTCCCATTTAGACCACCTGTCCAAAATGTCCCCTCAGACAGTAAAGACCAAGGTGGTGAGGTGGGGTGGGGTGGGAGATAAACCTCCCTCGAACCTGTGTCCAAAGGGAGGGTAGTCTTTGTGCTGGCCCGCTGAGGGGGTAGGAAGACGCGAGCACACTCGCCAGAGCATCTGCAGGTGGCTCTCTTGCTATGAGGGCATTGTGAGCACTCGTTCCACCCACTCAAGCCCCAGGGGTTTCATTTCTGCCCTATGTACTGAGCCACAGGATCTTGAGAGTGTTCTGACCGTGCTGCCTCAGCCCAGAGGCCTGTGGTTTCAGGAACCATGAGGATGTGGCTTGGGGAGCTCAGGGGGAAGCACAGAACACAGAAGTTACTGGCTGTAGCAATAGAATTTCCCCCTCTGCCAGGGCTGCCCAGAGCTGGCCTCAAACATCCTCATTCTGTCCTCCTCCATTGCCTAGTGAATGCTTTCTGTTATCGAATGGAGAAGAAGTGGCAAGGGAAGAATCTGAATTCCGGGACTTGGTTTAACGTACGTGTTAATGAGTGGAACATGGGGAACACTATTTTTGTGAATGTCATTAGATGGAACACTCTCCTTTAGTAGCTCATAAATAGATTGAGCCTACATAGTACAGCTGCTCTTAACTTCATAGTTGACTTCAATGCCTTAATTATAGCATCTAGTACCAAAGGAATGGATTGCTTTTACAAAGCTGCCACTCCCATAATTCTTGGGAACAAAGGAATTCATCACCTTTTCAGGCTCAAAACTTTGACTTGATTTGTTAACTGGCCCAACTTATCAGTTCATTAAACTGAAAAGAAATTACTTTCTATGCACAATCTACTAATTCCTTAACCACCAATGAGTTGTGGCTGCTTTCGACTGCTCACAGTCACGTGGAATAGGCCTACTTTAAAAAAAAGAAACAAAAAAAA